TGCCCAGCCCCATTCCCTGCCCAGTCCCAGCCTCCCTGCACTTAAAGAAGCCCCGCAATCACTGGCTGCAGCAGCAGGGATCAGGGCCTCTGAGGGCTCATGGCAGAGCCCCTGCATGGAGCACAGAGCAGCAGAGGGCAGCAGGGATTGCCACACCCCCCGGCACCCATGCGGCAGCTGCCCCATGGCACGGGTGCAGCGTGGCTTGGCAGGGCATTGCATGCTGTCTGGTAGCTTCCCCATGGGATAGCTGCTGCACAGGTATCAGGTGGGGGGGCGATCCTCACTGCCCCACACTGCACGGGGGGCTCTGATTGCTGCTGCTGCACCCAGTGAGTGAGGGGCTTTTAAGTGTCGGGAGACTGGGGCCGGGCAGGGCAGCCAGGAGGGCTTCTCCTGTGCCTCCTCTGGCTGTGCCTGCCTCTGCCCTAGTAGGAGGAGCTGTGGGAGAAGCCCCCATAGCTGCCCTGCCCTCTACTACTGCCTCTTCGCAGTTCACAAAAAACACATGCTAACACGCAATGAACCAAAGCCACATAAAGAATATGCAGGTAACCAATAACATTGCTCATCTCTCCCATGTCCCTGGCTATCACCATAGGCGTAGGGGCACACAGGATCACAAGGTATCTGTTTAACACCCTCCCGCATCCCCAGTCTCACTGTGGGACTGAACCTTCCTGCTCTTCCTTTAACTGTCTGAGCTCCCTTTTGGCTTTGCTCCTATTACAAATACAACGCTGTTTACAACTGCCCCAGAGTCCCAAGGACTCTCTTCATTCAGTCTCTAGTACAGTGGTTAATTTTCTCTGCTCCTGGCTTTGTATCATACCTGTGACAGAAGGTTACCTTACTTAACCCAAGCAGACCACAGCCTGTACCCTTGTCCAAACCATGGGCCTCAGGCACACACCAAGATCATGCTGTGACCCTGTCTTCCTCAAAGTTGCTGCTCCTGCCACCAGCACACCTGTACCTCTGTACCCTACTCTGCCTGATCTGGACAAACAACTGTCCCTTTGGTCAACAGTGCAACAAACCAATCTCTTGCATAAAAGATTCTGACAAAGACATGGTTACTTAGCTTCAACCCTAGTTGGAACTGCCATACAGTTTCACTTTACAAACATGTCTCCACCCATAGTTCCACAGCTTTACCCCACTACAAGTCTTGGCTGACCCCTCTACACAGGTTCACTCTGTATCAACATATTCCCTGATCAGTCAGGTTACTGCCCTCAAGTCCCAGTCCCCAATTGTTGGACCTGGTCCCAGTCCTAGTCCCAGATTCGTAGGGTCTCCATCCCGGTGGAGAAACCAATTGTTGGCACTGGATTTTTAACCCAGGTACCTTGTTCCAGGTGGACCCAAACCCTCAGACTGACCACAACCTCTCCATTCAATAATAGGCAAATTTTACTGATATACAGTGATAGCAGATAAGACTAATGCAGGCAAGGGAAACAAAATAACCTCCCCAATTCTATGTCGACCAGTCCTAGAGCTGTCACAGAGAGAAGGTATATCTGACCAGTATGCAAGATTCACCCTGACATTCTTGCTTGAATGTCAGTAGCCTGGAGATTGAAGGACAATCTGATCTGTTCAGGTCCCTCCTGACCCTACTATGAAACTATGACAAGCCCCCTGCCCAAGTGGTGATATGCCCTCTGTTCATGGTGGCCTCAAGTTCCCTTCTTGGGGACCCTGAAATCCTTTCTTTTGTATTCTTTCTCCCCTCTGATGACTCTTCATCTCTGGACAGCATTGCTTGGTCTCCCTGTAGTCGTCACACTTCATGTTCTGTTCTGTCAGCATATTTCTTTGTTCCAACAAACTCATCACATGCACACATCTTAATTTGGTTATTTACTGGGCCTCTTAATTTGGTCTGTTCACCAAAACTCAAAATCCCAAGGGCTCTGCAATTGGGCACTGCGACTTGGTACCAATGCTGCAGAGTCCCTTATCTTTGTTTGAGTACACTGTTCATGTTATGGAACAGTGTGGTACATGTCTTCAGTTTCCTAGCTTGTGTCTGCTGGCTTCAGATACAGTGGACCTTGAGGGAAACTTTGTCACAAACAGGCTTTTAGAAATCAGTTACACCTTGCCATTCCCCTGGACCATCGTTCTAAAGCAAACCTCTTCATATCATTTTCTAGCCATCAGTTAGATCAGACAAAAAAAAAAAAAAAAAAAAAAATCACTGGCCCAATCTTGGTTCACCTGAGAAAGTGCATTTAGGTCAGGCATGGTCACCACAGATACTCACCCCAGACCTGGGGCTGCACGTTCCCCACCCTCTTAAGCCCCCCAAACCCTAAGTGGGCTATTCTTAAGCTCTCCAAACCCTCCACCTCCAGTTGAATCCACCCCCTCCCACAACCTGCCAGCTCCCTTCCAGTCCAGCCAACCCCCCACCTAAGCTCACCAAATCTGCACCCCCGCAGACCCACTAGCCTGCTTGCCTCATTCCCCACCCTGACTTTCTTAGATCACATTCCTGGTGCAGGTCCTGGCACTAGTGAATGTATGTACAAGTGAGACCCAATCTACGACCGCACAACTTAAAATAAAGCTGTGCGATAACAGACCAAGTCTCAGGAATGTCTCCATGTGCCCACAGGTACTCGTATTGGAAGATGAGGGTCTAATATTAAAATCCGCCACAGGCAATTAGCACTGTATGCTTTTTTTTTTTTTTTTTTTTTTTTTTTTTTTTTTTACTATTATTAGGAAGTAAACTAAAACGTTTTGTAACATTACAACTGAACCTTATGTGCACATACAAGAAAAAAAATTAAGGTAACAAGGGAGAAAGCCCTATTAAGATGCATAATGAATTAGAACATCCCAAGGAAAATCATTGTCACACCGAATGATTCAATGATATAATATCCAGCATAGTGAAATGCAGAGTTATTTTTAGACAACTGACCTCTTATTTTTACAACAAATTATTTGAAATCTGATCCTACATTTCCAAATATTTACCCATTATAACATGCAGTGTTGCAGTTACTGTGTGCTTGACTCCATGAAGAGTATATGCCAAAACATTAGTGGAACCTGTAAACAAAATTTACAAATAAGAATGGTACTAAATGGTAGTTTGGATAAAGTAAAATAAAACAAATGAAGCTTGACTCAACATAAGACTTTATAAGATGAAGATTTTCGATTAGATTTCTTTACATAAAGTTCCCTCTTCCACTAATCCAGTCTGTTTTAAGCTTCATACGACAAGCAATACTGAAATGATAAACTACAAGCTGTACATTATCAATACTTTTTGAAATCTGAGTAAGTAACAATACTCTTCTCAGATCTATTATTAATGAATGTATCTTATAGCACCATTATAATGTACTGTTTGATGACTAACTACTCTACTGAAGCACTGTAACAGCAAGAATTAACTAATGGTACATATTTTGAAGATTCTTCATAGTTAGAGAAAAGTCTGTAGTAAACTCTGGGTTGTGCATAACACTTGTCTGGAGAGAACTGTGTTATGGTCAAAGATAACTACTATCTCCTGTCAAATCTATGTTATAATTCTCAGAAGCCTCAGAGAAAGAGGGCTACTCAGAGTATTGTAACTACAAGAAAGAACACATGTAAAATGTTATTGCCAAAAGTAACAAAAGTTGAAAAGGCTGGACTCGACTGCTTCAGTTAAGCAGAGAGCAGAGCACATCCCCTTTACAATCCTTACACTGTGCTACAAGGAGACGAAGGCTGACCTTGAACAGTCTGGATCAGCCAATCAGGGCTGTCCTATGAACTGCTGCTATACATCTCCAGGCAAACTGAGGAAGTCTGCAAAGCATGCCGAGATGTGTGCAAAGGCCTCCCTGACTGCCGTGTTAGCACTGCAAGTTCTCTGCTCCTCAGGTATTGAAGCTTAAAACCGGTGTCCCCCAGGGTAGTCAGTAGGTAAACTTTTGACCTACTGCTGGAGTTGATCTACTTAGAGAGAGTTCTGCCCTACAACAGCTGAGGTGGCAGGAAGAATGTTGCAACACCTGTGTGAGGTAATGTGTGGTGATTGGTGTAGAGTGTGAGACGACTGACAGATGTCAGTCTATATATAAAGTGATTGCACCTGAACGGAGGCATGATCAATGTGTAGGCAAGGAGCGTTTGGTGAGGGAACAAATGATTGATTGACTGTACTGTTGGTGTGGATGTCTGGTGCATGCTGACCCAAGGAGGGATCACCAGACCTACTGAGTGAGCGATTGATCGTTGTGTGTGCCAGAGTGGGTGCAGCAGACCCAGGGTGCTCAATCCCCTCTGCTTGTGTATGTATGTGTAGAGATGAAGGCCTGCGAGACCAATATCCTCAGAGGAGTAGATATTGTGGAGATAGTGGATTGGTATGAGTGGTGCAGCTATCAGCTGATTGCATACTGAGAGTTGAGTGAGAGCCAGGGATCGCTCTCTAGCACCCTCTAGGGAAATCCATGGGTGTGTGTATACATATATATGATACACACACACACACAGAGTACATAGCACTGTTGTTGATTATCGCTGTAAATCTTATTTCAATAATTAATTAATTACCCCTCATATTGTGTGTTTTATTTATTAATTAATTAGCGTGGCATTAGGTGGGGCCAGACCACAGGCCAATGCCTAGAGGGAGCAGCCCGCCCACTTCCTTATAGAGGCATTTGAGTGGGAATTGACAACTCCTGTTTGCATAATTGAGTTTGTCCTCAATACAGGGGCTCAGCATTTAATGTCAATTAATGGGTCTCTGGGTAAGATTTTCTAACAGGAAAATATTCTGGGGAATTCTCCCAGTTCATTTGAACATGTGTATGGAGCCTTAGCCTGTATTGTTATCTACCAAGCTGAGTGTGGAAGATTAAATTTCTCCTCTGAGAAATGCAAATAAGACATAGGTGTTGGTCAGATAGCATATCAATTGGTACAACCAAACTATCTAGGACTGCAAATGTAAGAATGGAGTTTTTGGGTGACATGATGGTTTTGTTAAAATCCTATTTGAATTACAAAACTAAACTGCCTTTGCAACCCTAATTACTGTTTATGTGAGTGCTTGTGTGAATCCCAACTCCATGAATACATAAACATGGGAATCAATAAACTGAGAACCAATAGCTTATTAGAGGGGATTTAAAAACAGGAGAGGAAACGCACAAACACACCACAACTTGAATTATTAGGAACTATTCAAAATCAGTTTGCTTTGTACTGATTAGTAATAGGGAAGTTTTTCAACTGAAAAGTTCTCTCTATGTCAATAGGAATCAAGCTATTAAAGACAGCCTGATCATAGCCTTCCTTAGTGAAATCCATGTTTAAAAGACTGAAATTAGCATTTTGAAGCTGTTAAGAATGACTGATTTAAACAGGAGTAACTTGTCAATACAGGCAGAAGAGAGATAATGAACAGTGTGGGCTGAAATGAAGTCAGTAACAACCTTCACCCATATTCCAATGAGAATTTGATCAGGTCCCTGCTAAAGGGAATAAATCCTATATTCTCTAGTACACAGGCTGGAAGCTGAGTATGTGACCATTTTCACTTGTAGACAAAGCAAAAAATATTGTTTATGTTTAAGACGAGGACACAAAATATATTTTGAAATATCTAAGAGAGATGAACCAGTTCTGCTTAGAAAAAGCCTTGTCTGGAAGTTCCACAAAGAACAGAACGAAAACAAATCAATCTATATGCTAGATCACATTTCTTCTATGCAATATATGTGTTTATTATTTAGCATGTATATGATAATAGTACTGAGTAGAGGGTTAGAGTCTCATAACTCCAGATACTATAAAAATACATAGTGTGCCACAAAAAAGCTTCCAATTCAACAAAAACAGGTGCAAACACTTACAAACTGTGTTAAAAATACAAAATTTTGTAGTTGATTCCCCCCCACCTCCCCTTTGGTCAGGGGTACCAATTTCAGACCTGGGATCTTATTTACCAGTGACAGGATAGTGCCTCTGTACTCTGTCATAATACTAAATAAATTAATAGCTGTGCTATGGCTATTTCATACGAGAGAAAGGGGGAAACTCACATACAATGTAGTGAAAATTTTTATTTGGACCTAAAAATTCAGCTACCGCTCAAGACAGTAAAACCTTTTTGTTTAGAAAGGTCTGAATTTTGACATTTCTTAACATACTGATTACAAAATATACTTTAACAATAACAAAAGGGGTTTTTATATCAGAATATAAAATTCTACTTGTAATGTTGACCTAGTTTTCTGCCTATGTAACTTCTACCCTCTCACAAAATATGCTAGTGCATATTTCGAGAGTAAGGACAAAAGTATCAGCAGTACATATAAAGCATGACTGATGAAGGTACCAAGCAGAAATGGTGAAAAAAATTGTCCTTGGAAGTGCAAGCACTTCTGCAGAACAATTAACTTAATTAACCAGACAAAATGAATATTCATAAGGCTGTTAATGTCTCCCGCATCCAAACAGATAAATGTGATGTAATGACTTCCTAGTCAAGCATATCTAAAATTCTGATGAAAACTGCACCAGCACTTTGGTTCTTTGCCTGAAATATCATAGAAATTAGCAGTCCCTTGGTAATATTTTTTTTTCAAATTAATTGGAAATCATTAATTCATTTAAATGATCTATGTAGGATTCTATGTAGTTCACAATAAGCAATGTATAGATTGTCTCTTGTTTTATAAGAACTGGATAGCTTTTTTATTTTTATGTCCTTTCAGTTTTTCCCCCCTCTTTATCTGAATCCCTCTGTACAGTTCCTTAGCAGTAGTTCCCATAGCAACAAACACTATTGCTAATGGCCAGCAGTACAACTGCAGGCTTCCCCACATGCGATCCATTTGATTTTGACCATAATATAGCAGCTTGAGCTGCTGGCTCAGTGGACTATTTTAGTAAAAACACACTCCCTCTGGATTCTCTCTCTCTCCAGAAGTCAAAGCGCTCCAAAAGCAGCTCTCTCTTATCAAGTGTGCTGAAACTTGAAAACTGCTGTTCATCATTCTAAATCTTTGACTGTAAAGGCAAAAAATAGACTTTAATTTTTGTAGATCATATATTCTATGAAACACATTCTATTCTTAATCAACTCAACTAGAAAACCATTACACTTTTGTACAATGTATTTCTAAAAATATTACTTAATGGCACAAACAGCCTCCTCTACATATATTTTCTAATACTTTTGTTCCAGATAATCTGAGTATTGCATAGTACAGAACTATATTAAATAAAGCCTTAAAATGTCTGTTAGAAGATATTCATCATTACCTTTTTTAATTATTTTCACTACCCTGTAGTTAAATATGTTTCCAATCTTTCTATATTGTGAGATCCAATACTTTCATAATCTCAAAAGAATGAGTAGTAGGAAAAACAGTGACCTAAACCTGTCCTGACTGCATGGAATAAAGCATTGGGGGGATTCCATCTCATAACACCACCAAGACATTCACGGCAACTAAAATGACAAGTGAAGGTCAGATTGCTGGCCTAAAATGTATTTGCCTCATGTGTCTGAGATTATTCTCTTGCTTCTCTCCAATCCTTCCCTAGGTCCTTTTGTACCTACAAACAAATTTTGTATAATCCAGCATTTTTCATCCAATTACTGCTTATTTTAAAAAGTGTTTTTTGAAAATGTTTTTGCTGCTATTTGCAATCTGTAAAGCAAACGCAAGTAAAGCACTTTAATACTGCTTGCAAAGGGCTACAATAATTTATTTTAGAAGGACAGAAATATGGATAGTTGAAATAATTCTAAACACAATTCATGCATTTACTTCAACATCTGTTATAAGAAAATGAAAAAAACAAATAAACAACAAAGACAGATCCAGTTTTTCCTTACTAGTTACAAAGAATGCTAAAATGCATCAAAAACACTATCAAGAACCACACTAAGAAGAAAGAAATCCACATGAAAATGCTTCAGCCACCTCTGTAATATCAACTCTCTCTGAACCCCGTACAAGTCTCTAGTCCTTGTTCAGCTTACAATCTGAAGGAGGAGTAGGCAGAAAAAAAAAGTCAGGCCAAGGACAGGAGCAGATGAGACAAGAACAGTAAAAATCCAAAATGCATCTCTCTC